TTTTAGAGCTGAAAAACCCTACACATATTAAAAATGTTCTTAAAGCTCTATGCTAGTTTAATTATAAAACTATAGAATTATGCTAGTGCTATCTCACAGACTTGGGTAATTACACAGTACAGTCATTCTGGTAACACATTAAACAACTTATACAAACTTATATATTTAAAAAAATATTAGTATACACTACCATTCAAAAGTTTGGTGTCAGTACTTTGTTTCTTTTTTTTTTAATAAATGTTTTTTAATAAATGTCTTTTCTCAGCACGGATGCATGTAATTGATCAAAAGTAACAAGAAATGTATTTTAATGTTACAAATGCTGTTATTCTGAACTTTCTATTCAGCAAAAAAATCAGCAAAAAAAAAAACAACAACAAAAAGTTAAAAAGTATCTCCGTTTCAGCAGCACAGCTTTTTAAAAAATAACAATTAAAAAAGTTTCTTGAGCACCAAATCAGCACCTTAGAATGGTATCTGAAGGATCATGTCACACCAAACAATGGTGTAATGGCTTCTAAAAATTCAGCTTTGCCATCACAGCAATAAATTACATTTTCAAATATATTAAAATGGAAAAAAAACTATTTTAAATTATAATGATATTTTACAATATTATGCTTTTTTCCTCTCATAAATCGACTTTTAAGAACATTTAAAAAAATTTACCGACCTTAAACTTTTGAACTTTGGTAAGTTTGCTGAAGTGCAAGGCTGTGTAATCCAGCATAGTCATTTAGCAGTTGGCAATAGGATATAAATGATATATTGTGAAGCTATTATGCAATTAGTCCGTCATATGGAGTAAATGTTCTGTATGAGCTTTTAGTCTGTGTTCTGCCAGTTTACAAAAAGGCTTGAGGAAACCACAATTATTATACTTTAGGAGCAAAGCAACTTGGTCCTTCAGATGTTATTGAATAAAAAACAGAGTGTGTCCTGTTTTTGTGAGACACCTTGTTTTTATGGTGACAAAAGAGCTTCATTTTCTGTCTGTGCTTGGAAAGTAAACAGGGTTTTCTGTTAAAACCATGCTGGAATGAGCCGGAAATTACACTCTCTTATCGGCCAGAGTTATTGTGCCCCATTCTGAAGAAAGGCATCGTGGATGTTTACAACGACCCACTATAGACCTATGCCTGGGTGCTATTGTCACCTAAGCTAGAAGGGTCACTGTGCTACCCATTCTATCAATTTGTGTTCAGAAAGGGCCTATTCATAGGTGTATGCTTTTGTTCTGTCTTGCATGCTTACAGGCAATGGATAACGGATGCCTTTGCTACAAACATAATCAATTATAATAAAATAATTATATTGCAGTCTACAAAAGAGATGTTACAGTGCCAAGTGTTTTTCTTCCCAGAATCAGGAAATGAACTTAAGTTAAAATCCCATTGTTGAAAAAAAGATTAACTTACTGAATTAATAAGCAAATCATAAAAGCAGTCAAATCAAATTTCATGACGTTGGCTTTTATGCACTTTTGTGTTCTTGAAATTAAAATGGTAGAGCACAAAGAAGAATCGTTATGTAAAAATGTGGTTTTCTGGTAAGGTTAATTTTATTGAAACTAAAAAACCAAAGCAAAATAACAATTGTGTCTCAGCAATGGCAGCAATGGTGTTTTATTGCTGAATGAATCGGGGTATTTGAAAGAATCAGTTGAATGAAAGATTTAATGACTCATAAAAACGTATAAAAAATATATAAATTATTGGGTTGTAGTTTTTTTTTTTTTAATCTAGCTGCTTTGAATGCAGTGAGACTGCATGTGTGTATTATTGGGTAATTGGTTGATTAAAGGTTTGAGTTATTACATCAGCCTCAGAAAACATTAATCAGGATGAACCCAGGGGAAATGTCATTGATTAAGTAAACCAGCCTGGAGGCTGTGAAGTTACCATTACCAAACAGCCTTGTGTGTGATATTCATGTAAAAGTATGATAAAAGTCAGCTATCATTAATTACTCCTAAAAGTGGATTGTATTTAATCTAATATGCTGTATTCTTTACTTCTGCATATTTGTATTTTCTTCAGAAAGATAAATCAGCTGATATGCAGGCATTTATACTGTCAGTGTATAATATATTACCTGGCTCCCTAATACTTGATTTTGATTGGTCAGTTTTGGCAAACTGCATATTTTTTTGTACAATAACGAACAAACTGTACTTTTCTTGTTTATATCTTTCATATCATTCCACAGTCTCTTTCATCTCGCATAATGAAATCATTTCAAACCAAATCAATATTTCATGTCCATTTATTTATTTGCTAAGTAGCTGTGTAATTAGCTGGATAAAATACAGTGAGCCAGTTATTATCACAGAAGAATCTTCTTATTAAGGATGATAAAAACCCTTTTATCGTGGGGTTTATTCTGTGACAATGACCAAACTGACTGTACATTAAGTCTTAGTATCTATCAAACAATTTTCTAGATGAAAATTTAGTTCCTTGCATTTATTCTTACAATTAAACATCTCTTATTTATTTTACGTTGTTGTCAGGAAGGAATCAATGCACAGCCAGCAAGAATTATTCCATAAAATTACGTTGATGTTCTGATGGTGGTACTACAGTAATCATTATATTCATCTTTGTGTTTGTGTTTTTAAGAACTGTATATGAAATATAACTGACTTTAGTGTGTCTCCTACTTAGACACAGAATTGGTTGAATATCTGTGTTTGCATGTGCATTCATATTGTTTTTTATTGGTGTTTTGCCTCACATAATGTGAATCATTCCCATTTAGAGACTCACATCTCCCATAAGAACTGCTGTTTATACCTTTTGTGGATATGGATTTGTGTGATACACATTCTGTGTACACAGCATGAAGAGTGTGAGTTCATGTGATAAAAAGCAATTGTTAGTGTATTCTCTCTGAAATACCAGTTTTCATTTGTTCTGTTCTGTGACATAAAAGCTACCGCAGATATTCCCTAGTTTCCAGACTTGTGATTTTTGATGTGATCTTTATTGTTGACTGTTTTCTTTCAATTCATAGCATTCTTATACAAGCATATTCTCACCACAGGAACCCACCGCAACCCGCCAAAATAAAAGCTTGCTGATTTTAGGTTTGAAAATAATGATAATCCATATAAAAAAATTTAAAAGTTACATTTTTATTATAAGTTACACATTTATTTTAAAAAGATGTGAATGTGAATATTAGCATTATATTTTTAAGTGTGCTATAAAATAATTGTATTTTATTTAATACTGTTTATTTTAAAATATAATAGTATTGTCACATTGTATTTATTAGTTTCTTTATTATAAAAAAAATAAACAAAGTGCAATAATACTATTATTACTATTATTTTTTTAAATAGTTATAATGGGTCACACTACATGCATCCCTGGTTATTGCGATTTAACAAACAATTATTTTTATTATTATTATTATTAATTTTTTTTTCAGAATTGCAAGATGTAAGGTCAGAATTGTGAGATAAACTCGTAATTTCAAGTAAATAAAAAACAGAATTGTGAGATGCAGACTTAGAATTCTGAGAACAAAGTCAGAATTGTGGGATAAAAAGTTGGATTTACTTTTTTGAAAAAGCTTTTTGAAAAGCTTCTATACATTCTTCTAGTATAGAATGCAGCATGTTCAAACAAAAAATGGTAAAGAATCATACATTTATTTTGAATTAACTAAGCCTATCAATCTCGTACACACAGAGAGACAAACATACAACATCATGTGTCCCAGATGAGCATTGTTTACAGCATTGTGGAGGTTAATTATGCATTTTATGGGCCGTTTACAAGCTCAGGCGAGAAATACCACAATGTCCTTCTCACCTCCTGAAGGACTTGTCAGGGAGCGTAAACCATTCATGCTCTACTAGTGAGTTTCTTTGTCTCTTGACCATGACACACACACAGCCATAGCCAACTTTAACAATCATCACCGTGACTGTCCTATGAATCAACTCACAGCACCCTGCCACCCTTCACCTTGACTTTCTCTCATACTCTCATGTCTGTCCTCCTGAGAAGTGATCATGCATACCACTGTTTGGAACAAGAACATCCAGACTCTCACTGATGTGAGTGATGCAGATGCGAGTGACTCAAATCAAATTAAAAAAGACTGAGAAAACATCTGTTGTGACACATTTCTCTTCTAACTTTTACCTCAGTAAATAATTCATCATCAAAAGTTTATCTAAGGCAGTCCCCTTGGTCCATTCGCCGCAGGGCCCCCTCAAGCGCGGGGCCCGGTGCGACCGCACCAGTTGCCTGTGTAGACACTAGACAGACTCAACCTGTTGTGACGCGGTGGTGTCGCGTCCGGTGTAGACACGGTTCACTGTTCCGCTACTGTTATTACTGTTATTACACTTGTATACAAAACTTCGTATTATACTTGTTATAGAGTGTGTGACGTCACGTGCACTACCGCCGGTGGCAGTAGACAACCGTGGTGGCAAGTGACCACCGTGGTGACGCGGTTGTCACGGCGACCGTCACAGCCCTACCACTGCATACACCCGCTCATAGACCCTCCTCAAAAAAAGACACCAGGAAAGTGATTGAAAATAGACAAAAGAGACGGACTAAAACACCAAATATAAATGTAAATGTCTTCCTCGTAACCAGGAACAGAAACCAAGTATCTGTATTTTGTCTCATCTCGTGAGCTAAGTGTATTGTCACACCCCTAATGTCAATAAGCAGTGATATAGCTCATAATTTTCCAAGTGTATGATATAGCTTTAATTCTTCAGGTCAACCATATATTCATGAAAAAAAATCAGTTTGAAAAAGGAAAGCGATAACTTTGCCATTGTATCCTTTCAAATGTTAAAGTTGCCACAGTCACTGCATGCTTTGCATGTGCTGCCCCGCCCCCCGAATAAAAGTTCTGGCCCATTTTTTTTTTTTTTTTTGCTTGTTTTAACCCCTGTATATTCCTTCCATTAATCCAGCACAAGGAATATACTCTCCCCTTATTTTTCTTTTTCTTTCTTTCTACAGCAACTAATGCGAGAGCGCCAGCAGATGGCCAGCCGTCCGTTTGCATCTGTTACGGTGGCACTTGAGGCTCCAGAGGAAGAGGAGGAGCTTCTGCAGGGCCAGGTGGAGGTGGGTACCTTCAATGATAGGCTTGTAAATATTCAATAGTTATTTACCTACTATATTTAAATTGAAGCAATTCAAATAAGCATAAATGAGAACACCCCCTCTGAAGCTTAAATTCAGCAATTAATCTTTTCTCGTTTCTGTTTTAAGTATGAACATGTAGCAAAAGTAACAGAAAGTTGTGACAAAAGGCTGGCAAAAGTTATGAAAAGAGTAACTGTTTGCAACATGTCTTTAAATGTATGATTGTTGTCTAAAACTGGAACTACCTACAGTAGCTAAAGCACAATAAACTCGTTTAGCCTTTTCCAATGCCCATATTTACATAATACAGACTTCTGGGAATCCATACTCTGATCTCACAAGACCAAGTCAGTCATTTTGGATCTAAAAGCATCCAAAATGGTGTGGCATGGCTGGGGGAGGAGTACAGTAAGAAGTGCCTGGTTCCCACAGTGAAATTCTGTGCTTGTGAAGTTCTTATATAGGGATATTTGACTACTGAAGGTGTGAGGGAGTTGTGCTTTATCAATGCTGTAATGAATTCAAACACCGTTGAGTAATGTAATACAAAATCTTGAAACAGAAGAAGCTACCCTCTTCTCATTACCTGCAATGTTAGGTATTTTTCAACTTGACAATGACTATATACATTCCCCGAAGGTGAAAACCTCCCCATTAAAGATCAACACATTTAAGGAGGTCATCTCCAGTTAAATAGGATAGATGGGGTGATTTGTCACAAAATTGTACACTCAATGCCAAGAAGGGTCGGTAGTATACTTAAAAGACATATTAAGAATTTAATCAAGGGTGTATTAATTTATGCAACCCTTCATTTAAACAAAATTGGCTAATTTACTTATTTTACAGATGTTATTGACATATATTTTGAATTGTTTCTTTCCACTACATTACTTCCAAATATGTGCCCCTCAGTACTTGCAGATTGTGATGTCTCATCACTTAAGTTTATTCCACAAAAATTTCTTCAGCCTTTGCATTTTTTTTATAATAGAAGACAGTGGAAACCATGAATTTAAAGCTATTTCCTCATTCAGAGGTTGATTAAACAACATCTGGTGTAACAGTGTAGACTCCATTTAGTGTAATTGCATAATATACGGGTGAATATTGGCTCGTTAAGCAGCAAGGCCAAAGAGCAGGGCCATCATCACATTTCATGCCTAAGTTGATTGGTAAGCACAGGCTGCGGATGGATGCCTTCACTGGCCCTGAGCTGTTCTCTCACATTGACCGTTGCAGTTGAAATGTTTGTAGTCCAAGTATCTTCCACAGCGATAAAGACAGCATTTGACTATTTTACACTACTTTTCTTTTCACGGTGTTTAATTTCATTGGTGCATGTTATAACAAGTTGAAGTGATATAAAAAGATCACACACATTCAAACTGGTATTACTTGACATCAGCTTTACTTTGTCATTTTCCCTCATTTAACCAGAGTGTGATTGAAGTTGATAGCATGCCAGCTGAATTGATTTAATATAATTTGATAATATAGTGAGATTTCTTCTTCAAATTGGCCCTGTTAGAGCGTCTTTCACTTGTTTTCAAAGATGCAGACTTTTTCAAGAATCTTTTAAATGCCATCTGCAATCATTGACCTCTTATAAAAGTCAAGCAAATGTTTGGCGGTCTGTTATTTATTGGACGGTTCCTTTATCTTGCGCCGCATACATCTGCATGGTGCGGCTGTGTAGGAAGAGTGTGTTGGAAAAGAGCTCTGGGAACATATGCATGGAAATCTGGATGTGCTTTCAAAATACGCCCAAGCCTGTTAGACTTTTTTAAATAGCTGCGATATAATTTGAATCATACCAGATAACTGCTAATTGCTGGAATAATATACTGAGTGCTAAGAGTGTGCTAGACCTGCTGTGCTCAATAGACTGAAGTGTGTGAGAAACTTTCATTGACTGAGCTGTCCTTACTGTTACCTCTAGAACACTTCAGGTGCAAACAACATCTGCTGCACCAGAGCAACTGTTCTCTGATGATTTTTTAAAAATGAAATTAAATAGGATAAAATATATAAAACTATTTTTTAAATTATTTTATTTTTAATTATTAAATGAAATAAAATGTATAAATATAAATAATTTTATTTATATTATTTTATATATTTATTTTATTATTTAAAGGGGTCATATGATGCGATTTCAATTTTTGGAGTGTTACAAGCTCTTGGTGCATAAAGAAGATCTGTAAAGTTGCAAAGACTAAAGTCTCAAATCCAAAGAGATATTCTTTATAAAAGTTCAGAGTCAGCTACACCTACCTAAAATGGCTCGTTCTAACACGCCCCCCACATGTCTATGTCACGATGTGGGAAGATTTGCATAACGCCGCCCAAATGTTCACGCAAAGAAAGAAGGCGTAACTTTTATTCTCGCTGTAGTATTGTTGCCGCCGCCGCCATGATGTGAAGGCGCTGTGTGAATCTTCCAGTCATGTATTAGGTTGCATCTCTGTTAGGATGCAGCCATAGAATACTGTTAATGTAGGCAGTTCATAAAGTCCATGCCAATAGGTGTCAGTATACAGACCATGAGCACTAAGACAAAGAAGAGCCAGCCAGAACTGAAGTGCACCTGCAATTTCCTTCAAAGCATCTAAAGCAAGGACACATACAGTGCTGCAGGCCATGTGTCAGTTCATGTAAAAACTGTCTTCTTTTCTACACATGAGCATTCTGTATATCCACTCTGCGATTGTAAAATGATGCTCTATTAAGTTTAGGTGTTGTTAGATTTTGTTTGGATTCTTAAGTTTTCAGATGGAATGATTACTCTCAAACTGGTAGTTTTACTGTTTTATGCCTATATACAGTAAAAAAAAAAAATCTTATTTCTGAAGCTGCTTTAATATTAGTCCGTTCTTTGAGATAACACCTCTCTTTCTCTCTGCTAGGCATCAGTTACTCGCTGTACTCTGGCCAAATGTGCTGTTGATATTAGGAAGCTGAGAGTGGTGGGAGCGATCAGGAAGATGACAACAGTAGTCCACAGAGCAGGGACCCAAACATCTGTTCTGTGAGCTGTCTGTCTCTGGACTGCTCTTATCAAAACAATCTCAGCTGTTCAAATACACAGCGGCATCAGTGCCAACTCTCATGAGCCAAAAAAAAAAAAGATCCACTTGTCCCCGTTCTCCTCTCTATTTCTGTCTGTCATGTCTTGCTCATCAGCAGACAGCGGTGGATGACATTAAAGGGCACTGACATTCTCTACACACTTTCTCTCTGTCTCTCCGTAGGCAGATCTTCAGTCTTTAATTAATTCAGAATACTGAGAAATTTTAGGCAACGTAAAATTTCAGGAATGACAACAGCATTTAAATATAGGAGTGAATCCCCTATTTTATCGCTTTATCGTGTATATGGAACAGAACTCACTCTGAATTTTTGGGTGTTAATTCGGTTGTAGAATGCAGTTGTCACTCGTAAATTAAGGGGGGGTATCTGATGGGGCATATTTTCTTTTAAATTGGTTTGTTTTTGTTTTTTGTTTAGTTTGGTGTTGTTGTTTTCCTTTTGTTTTCTTTTGGTTTGTTTGTTCTTTTTTTGATTGTTTTTGTTTGTTTTTTTCCTCTGTTGGTTTGATTTGTTGTTTTTGGTTTGGTTTTGTTTTGATAAGGTTTGTGATTTTTTTTTCTTTATCTTTTTGTTTAGTTTCGTTTTGTTGCTATTTTTACATCTGACAGGAACAGGGCCATTAACACTTTGACTATGTTGCATTTTCAAAACATTGTTTGTTTGAGTGGTTTGACAATAGGCGGTTAGTCCATAGGCACACAGAAGTGGCACATTTCACCTTGAAACAGCCATGTAGTAAAATCTATGATATCAGCAGACAAGGGGAGGTTCATCTTTTTGGTATTTTCATCTCATATTTCACAGTTTTTGTACACTTTAATCAAAGCTAGTCCTATGCAGTGCTTCGAGCAAGCTCAACATAATACTTAGCTCTGCGTTTCTAATGTGCATTTTGTCTGGGTGCTGATTTCTGTCACCTCTCATCTCTGTCCAAAACACCTTCTAGATCAATGATCCGTGAATGGTTTTTATGAGCCGTCCATAAATCCTACAGCTGCCCCAGAGCGCAACCTCGCTCAGAGCAACACTGAGTACAAGTAGCAATTTCACTGTTCTGGAATCAGTGGGAATTGGGCATTGTCAAATTTAACAGTGTACTTGTATTTTCCTTGGAATGACCCACAGTGAAACACACACATTTGATTTACTTGATCAAATCTGGCATCAGTCTTCTAAACTAAATTAAAGGCTGAACAAATGTGCCATTTGACCTATAGTTAATCCTTGACTACATCACTTAACCCTTATTTCTAGGTTAGCAAATGTCAATTTCTTAATAGACTTAACCAAAACTCAAACCCCTATTTAACTTATCCTTAACCTGAACCTTGACCCTAGTCGTTCATGGTCCCTTGAGGTCAATGTGCCCTTGGAGAACATTTCACCTCCATCTGGATTCTTCTCAATCAAGCCCAATATTGGTGTCAAAAGGCAAGGCTCAGAAAAGTGCAGACACATATCACAGTCTATTATCCATATTAGCAGTTTTTTGTCTGCATTCTCTTCCCTGTTTCCACTCAGCAGTTTTGCTGCTCTGAGAAATATTTGACTTTGCCCGTCTCATGTTCAGCTGATCCTGCATGTTACTGTAAAACAGACATTGCTCCGCTGCACAAGCCAGATAGATCCAAACCAGATGTTCTCTTGGGCTACAAAAGATTGACAGGTGAAACTAAATAGCCTCTCAGTCTGTTGGCCCTCCGGCACAGCAGGTTAACAAGTCAACATGTACTTGTGCTTGTACAAGGTGACAGTAGATTGCATTTCACATTAATGACAAGGAAAAGAGGATGTTGATAGAAAGTTTGCAAACAAAATATATACAGATATTCTCTACCTGCTTTTTATGAAAGGAAGATGGGAAAACTGTTTTTGTCATTCATATA